GTAGCCGTTAACACTGTTAAATCATATATAAATCATCAAAGAAAGGTAAATACAGTGTTCGAATAAAGGACATAATAAATAATATATATATATATTTTCGTCAATTGCTGATAAGAAGACAGCGTATCATTTTGATCTGTTGTTTGTTATTTGCTTTGCATCAAGGACAAGTGTCATCTTATATGCCTGCGCATGAGTGTGAAGGAATTGGGGCCCGTTTACAAACTTTTGAAAACCAGGTAACTCAAGCATGAGGTGATAATTAATCATTCCTCAACTAGCAATAATTACTAAAACACCTGGACTTTCCGGGCTTATCCTTTCCGGATAAGTTTGGAGGGTTAGAGCCTGCCTCGGGCACAATAGCCCACACCATGGTGTCAACTGACCTTACTTTTATGAGAAATCTATTCAGATTAAGCACTTGAGTCGCAATTTCTTTTCATCTATGCCTTCGTCCAGTGACATTGCTAGAGTAGTCCTCTCTTTATAAATTATATTATCCAATTTTTAAGCCGAAATATTAAGTTTATTTTTTGAGCAGAGTGGGTGGACTGACGAAGCAACCCAAACGTTAATTATCATATGGGGAACAACATTCATACAAGATGGTTTTGATGGAACCCGGCGGAACATCGCCGTTTATAAAGAAATAGCACAGAAGATGCAAGAAATGGGTTATAACTTTACACACGCACAGATTACAAAATGCAAGAACCTACGCAAAAAATACACCCAGGTAAAGGACTCCAATGGGAAGTCAGGAAACCCAACAACAGAATGGCCGTATTTTGAGATGATGAACAAAATTTTTGGCGATAGACCCATTTCTTGTCCACCAAACACTGTTGACACATCGTTGTCGGCTCTGAATACCAGTAGAACTAGTAGTAGTAGTAGTAAGTCCGCAAGTTATTTTTTTTCTTTGTTTTTTTGTACTTTTCCCAGTTGGCCTAGGCTCTAGTTTCTAAGGCCTGGGTTTTTTTAGAATTGGTTGGAGTTCGAGCGTAGGCAAGGTGAGGTAATTTGTTGTTGAATTTCCGTTGGGGTGAGGTCGGCAAAGTATACAGATTCAGAAAGATCGCATGGCTTAACAGAACAGCATGCTGTATCGTGTGTGACTGTGAAGTGTTTTTGGTTAAAAAGGCCTATACCAGCATACTTTTCGAGTGATGGAACTTCTGGTCGGTATCCGAATAACTTGTGGTTCGTAAACGAGCGATCTAATGACCTACCCCTCTGGGCATTATGTCATTTTGACTTATCCGGTTTCGTAGAAAGTTCGTAAACACAACCTCAGAGGCTTTAATCGGATCTGAATTCCCAACAGCCTCAATGGCCTAGTTGGTTAAGGCATCTGCATAGACAGCTGAAGGTCCATGCAAGCATTAACACGTTCACTGGCCACCTTTTGTAAAGCTCTGCTATACCAAAACAAGTTTTCTAGTCATAAATTATCAAAATGGTCTAAGTCTAATATAAAATTTTGGGGGACAAGTAAACTTGTCACTGGCAATAGGACATTTTTTTTAATTGCCTGTACAAGTGCCAGTTTTCTCAAACATGGGGGGTGGGGTCATTTTACAAACATGATCCTTGAACTGAGTAGTTATGGCAACAAAACTCATTAGCCTGGCTCACATCGAACTTTTATCTAGATATACATCCACTTAACTGAAACCACTCAATTATAGCTAGATAAAGGCTTAAGTCACTTAAAGTTAAGTAACTTAACTTACTAAAATAACGGTAAATTAACTTGCTTATGTAAAGTCAGCTCGGATTACAAGGACATGATTACGTAACGTAGGCATCTAAGCCAGCGTTGTTGTATTGTACCAGCATTATCATGCTCTGGCTGGCAACAACAACGTACTCCAACAATGCTAACAACAGCAGCATAGTAGTCTCATTAGTGTTGGTTTTCAGAAATTATTTGTAATATTATGGGTAAAAAACCAGCAAACATCCTTTTTACGAATAGTCGCATTACAAATGACCTTTGCACTTTGCATCATCGACCAAGTAGTAACGTCAAAAAGTCCGATTGCGTACATTTTCCAAAGTGATAATGTTTATTATTCTTAATAATAAAATCAGATTTGTTGTATTTATTATAATACAATCTTATCCATTTCCGCTATAATAGTCACTATTAATTCAGTTTCAACGAACTACCACCAACAACCAGTCGTTAAAAATGAGCGCACATGTTTACGATGACAAAATAAAAAAGTGTGTTGAACTCAGCAACTTATTTGACACCGCGAAGCTAGATTTTCGCGAAGTGCATGTAAACAACACAATTGAGAGATCTAAAAACTACAAAACAGGACAGAAAGGTCCATAAAGTATACAGACGTTTTAATGAGAATTAAACAATATTTTGTTAAATGGAAGAATGCTAGCTAGCGATTAAAATAATTCGTTTTTTATCGAAGGTAAATTTAGCTACGGCCTAGAGAATCTAGAGAGGCTAGGTTATAAGGTAGTGGAATACCACTTGGTACTAGAGGTTTGTAAAATACAGTAGATGTTTTATTAAACAAGCCTTTCCACCGTGTGACGTCGACGGCCTGAAACTGGCTGGCTGTTTATCTGGTTCTAACTTGGCATCGAACGCAATTAAGGAAATATCGTATCATGTTTCAAGACGGGTATATCTAGATAAAGTTCCACATGAACCAGGATATTGACATATAACATGATCTGCATACACCTGACAGACAATAGCAATTGTCTAACAATATCAAAGAAATCCTGTTTAAAGAAGAATTTTCCCGGGCGGTCAAATAAATTTGGGTCAGTCAACTTTCATCCATATCACTGAAAATAACATAAACATCCATTGAAGCAGTAGACTCATTTATCCATGAATACTGACCGACGTTTTCGTTCATTGGGCGATTTAAATGCAAGCTGTAGGGCAGACTATGATTATGGTACCACTAGAAAGCTCCTTTAAAACAATACCTCAGTGTATTAAATCCCTTGACATTTTTTTAAACAGTAAATGATGCATAAGTTATTGATATGAAAGTTATATGTGCGTAGGTGTTTCTTAACATCCTTCAAATATATAGACATATTGTCTGAGTTAATACACTTGATAAAACAACAGAATATTTGAATTAAACAAGGAAGTATTTTTCTCAGGCCTAACATCCTTGCATAAACAGAAGCCCTACCCCTTTGCATGAACTACAAATAAGGCCTCTTGATGAGGGTGGAGAGTTAAGTTGTATTTCAATTTTAAGAAAAATCGTTATGTCATAGGAATTGAGCCCATTCACCAGGATTTGGAATACTACCATCTTAACCACCACTGTTGGAAAGATAAAAGTAATTGTGTTTTAACAAGTAACCATTTGTTAGGGCAGTATTTGAGCCTTGAATTTGCCATAGTAATCAAAACTAAAACCTGTAATCTGTTTTTGCACACCCATGCACTCCCGAATATGGCAATCCAGTACATGGCCCTCTACAACCCTTCTCCTGAACAGCAAAAGTTTAAAATGAAATTTTGTGTATATGAATTCCTCTATGGACGAATTTGAATCCATGTAACACTGGAATGCCATTTTCACAATGACACTATAAAGGGACTGTGGGAAACACATAAATGATTGGAGAATTAACTGAAATTGAATGTTAACAGGAAGAGTTAGAAAAAAAAAACGTTCTGTAACTGGAGTATGTACTCTCTCTAGAGGTTTCACATTTGAATCCACCCAACATTGGAATGCTACTATAATTTATTCTTCAAAAATTTAAAAAGGAAGAAAAAAATCAAAAGGAAATACTTAAAAAGCATTATCAAGGATAAATACCTCAGCTTCCTTCCCTCTTACCTTTAAAACAACTAGAGAAGGAAAATAGGATATTGATAAATTTAATTGCTTGAGAATGTACTGGCTAAACAAAAAAATATGCTTGATGTTTAAAACATAAAGCAGGAGACCCAAGTAAAATCCAAGTACATCTCCCTCAGGCTATGTTCAAACATACGGTGTAAGACTGGCGTAGCTTACGCCCACCTAAGCTAATCTACGGATTAAAATTCCAAAGTGTTCACACAAACGGCGTTCGCTATATTAATGCTGGCGGTAAACTAGTAGAAATATAGGCCTATGGGGGAATAGTTTTCAGTTTTAAATAATGTAAGGGCTCTTAACTGTAGTAAAATATTCACAGTGCATCATCAAAACTTTTAAATCTGTGAATTGTTCGAAGTGAACTTACAGTACCATCCAGAAAACATTAGCCCACCGCACGCATTTTTTCCGCAGATGAAAATCGTGGGACACGCAGTTAATTAGTTAGTATTAGGGCCACCCATACGCAGTCAACCGTTACGGCATTGAGTAATTCATGGCTTCAACGAACTGCCTAATGATTTTTACGTTCAACAAATTGGTCTGTGTTGTTTATCAGCCAGACAAAAGACAGAGCCTGTCGTTATTTCGGAACAATGCAACTGGGAATATTAAACTTGATACTTTCATGGATATGCTGATATATCCACAGGCATCTGAATTATTTTGTTAACTGTACTAACAATTTTCCGGTTTATATGAAGATTAAATATATATGTACAGAAATATAAATTGTAGGCCTACATCATTGTAGAAATTCAAGATCAAGTATCTCTTTTATTAGTCGATCAATTAATGGTTGTGAATATTATGAGTTTGAAACCAAATATAATGCTGTAAATTGTGTCCTGTGTGTTATTTTGTTATGATACAATAATAATAGTTGTTGATAAAGGCAACGATTCATGATGTCGTCTATTTAACAACATAATTAATGACGAACAGTTTTTTTTTTTTATTCACTGGAATTCTTAACAAAATTGACTGTTGTGTATTATTGGTCATATCGTAGTAAGAGTTTAAGAGCGTGAGAGAATAAAGATTCCTTCTTAATGAACAGTATTAAGAGTTTAAGAGCGTGAGAAAAGAAAGATTCCTTCTCAGTTAAGGAACACGTATACAATGTCAGTTTCCAATTTTATAATACAGTATATATATATATATTTATTTATAATCTTTGAGATGATGACACTGCCGGCTATCTTATTGTGAGATAATCAAATTGTGGAATAAAATGAAATGATTAAGGCTTAAATTACGATTTTAAAAAAATATACACTGTTATGAAAATAAAGTTTATGTTTAGTATTAAATGGTTAATTAATAATGATTGAACATTTTGTTATTTGTTAGCATCACCATATTATATTATGTTTATTATTGTTTTTATTTAGCCAGATTTTGTAGTCTAAAGTTATTATGTATCACGGAGTGTAAGGATGTCGCTTACTTTCAACCGTCTGTCTGGAAGGTAGCCGATCAAAAGCACATGTTTTGCTGTGAAGCACATTCAATTAACCGAGGACTCTACCAAAAATTTATGGGGGAATGAATTTCGTAAAGTATAATTCAATATAATAATTTTCCAGTGGTCCCAAGTCTCCCGGATCTCTCTGGAGTCTCCCGGAAATTGTTATGGTCTCCCGCAAGCAAGCAAAAATCTCCCGGAAATTTACTTATCTCCCAAAAATTCAATAGAAAACAAATCTTCCCTAAACAATCAGGCAGCTATTCTGTCTTTATCTTGCCGCGTTACTGTACTCATGGAGATATCCATGCTGTACTGCATAGCAGCAAGGCGTGTCTACATTCCCTGAGTTGGCGGCGTTCAAAGAGAATAAGAGGTGATTAACCTCGTGTTTGCTTCTCCTTCTGAATATTGTAGTATCGTGGGAACCTACTTACAGGAACGTTTCTCACTGAATTCACCGTTACTATGCAACCTGCAGTACTAGTAACTTGATATTAAGCTTTTGCCTGTTACAGAGAGATAGCTTATGAATTAACTATTCCTTTTCCTTAAAATATTTCTTTATTGTTTTTATGCATGGTCTATATCTAGGCCTGTAATGTTTGGAAGAATAGTCTAGGCATTTCATCTATTTTTAGCCTACTTGCCTACCTACCGTACTTTATCGTTAAAACGTAGGCCTACTCTTTATACCAACTTCACTGTTGCCTGTTACAACTTACTCAGGCCAAGCTAACCATTGCATTGTTTCCTGAAAAAAAAAAAAAAAAAAAAAAAAAAAAAAAAAAAAAAAAAAAAAAAAATATGTATATCACAGTGTTCTTTAAATTTTATAACCTGCACTACCGACTATTAGCGAAATAACTTTACATCTCAAAACTAACTCGCTCATTGTTCGCCTGACAATAGAGAGATCAGGTGTGCCGCGAATTACGTAATACTTTACCATCAACTTTTTTGACTCGCTGTCCAACGTGGACCGCACTTATACCGCGAGTTCCGACTTTTAACAGGAAGTAGATGCTACACAATTACGTAATGGACCACTCGCTGAATACGGGCGCTCGAATTTTCCACGATTATTTTCCGCGGAAATAACGCAGGCAAGGGTAGATAATATCTGGATGGTACTGTATATGATTATTGTATTTTAAATGAACAATTTTACTTCTGATTTTTCCGTTAGCATGTGGAACATTGTTTTATACACATCTAGATGTGTATAAGAGACAGGTAACTGGAGTATGTACTCTCTCTAGAGGTTTCACATTTGAATCCACCCAACATTGGAATGCTACTATAATTTATTCTTCAAAAATTTAAAAAGGAAGAAAAAAATCAAAAGGAAATACTTAAAAAGCATTATCAAGGATAAATACCTCAGCTTCCTTCCCTCTTACCTTTAAAACAACTAGAGAAGGAAAATAGGATATTGATAAATTTAATTGCTTGAGAATGTACTGGCTAAACAAAAAAATATGCTTGATGTTTAAAACATAAAGCAGGAGACCCAAGTAAAATCCAAGTACATCTCCCTCAGGCTATGTTCAAACATACGGTGTAAGACTGGCGT